TCCAAACTAGGACAGGTTGCTTACCTGATTGTAGGTTGTTTGAAACCGCTGCGTGCGTAGTGAAACCCTAGCTCCTGACAAAATAGGACAGGGAAACCCTACCCCAACATAGGGGTGTTTTGGCTCTCACTTGCTTGTTATGTGCTTTTAGAGTGCGTCTCTACAGGGAATGCATGTATCAGTTTGCAAGCCTGAGTATCAGGCCTGCAGGCATCACCATCAGTATTTGGCGAATCAGTTTTACCTGAGGGTATCAGTTTACAGGCAGTATTTTGGGCAGAATTTTGTAAGGGGGCACAGTCATTCAGCTTTGCTCATATGGATTATGGTGAAATCAGGCTGAGATGCTCTCTGTTTTCTCTTTTGCTAGGTAGTCTTGGAACCATAGCTTCAGAAGGCTCCGATATCCCTCAAGGTTCATCGGACTTGTGCTGATAGACTTTGTCAGGTCAAAGATTCAGTTCAAAGGCAATCAGTGTTCTTTTGCCAGAGGCAGGGTAAAAAGGCCAGTCAGGCACAGATCATCAGTTCAACAGTCTTCGGATCAGCAGTCATTATGCATCTCACCTGTGTGCGGTTGGGTTGAGATATCTGCTTTTACCACAGAGACAGATATACCGATAGGTCAGTTAGATCAGGACAGTGTGGCGGGAATGGAAGAGATGGTGTGCCAACTCCAGGATTGTCACGCCCTCAAAATAACAACATTAAACCCATCAATATAGACATGCATTGATATATAAAAGTTCCACATTCTTCTATTCCTCAGAGTTTCATTACAAGATTATTACATGTTAACAACAAAAGCACAATACCCTACGGGCTTACAGCTTTCCAAGTTAATACTTGGTTACAACAAAAGAGTGCTAACTCATCTACACATTAAGCCCTCGGCTTGAATATACATGTAATACATCAAAAAGAAACTAAACACCAAAAATCAACTCGCATCTAGCCTCCCAAGCTATGTCCTTGGAGGTGGCATGCTACCTGTACCTGAAAATGATATTTTCATATAGGGTGAGCCACAGCCCAGTAGAAATATACTAAACCAACCATGAACAATGACTAAAAGATTAGCAATTGATAGATGGCCAACACTGATACATCCACATAAATCACATTTTTATGTCATACGACTTATGAGTCCAAGTTACTTTTCATTTTCCCTTTTTCAACAGATAAGCATATTAGCTCTATCATCGTCTCAACAGATATGTATAAAAACTATATCCCGCATTCACAGATAAGCATATAAGCTATATCCACATTCCCAACAGATATGTATAACGACTATATCCCACATTCACAGATAAGCATATAAGCTGTATCTACACTTCACAAAGATAAGCATATGAGCTCTATCCTCACTTCTCTAGACAAGCATATGAGCTGTATCTACGGAGTTCATCCCCTATCTTCTCCCAACACTATCCGGTTTAGAGGTACATCCCCCATCTTCCCCTAAACCGCGGAGTACATCCCCTATCTCCTCCTCCATACATAACGTATACAAACACATTGGTTCTATATACAATCACTCAATACATACAGTTAATGTATTCTATCAACCGTCAAATTCCATGACACATTCCATTGATTAGTTTTCGTTTGCCTAATCATCATGCATTGTCTACAACAATCACGACTATCCTCCACCGATAGCCCAAAGCAGTTATTTCTAAACATAAAAATAAATGCACAAATGGATATTCAATCAACATTTCAATTCGGTGAGTGATAAATAATTCAACTACACCCTTTCTCCCATACATTCCTAATCTCAACATTTCTATTTCATTTTCTCATTTCTCACGATTAATTATCCCAATTAATCAAACAATGTAATTAGGGCATTTTCCATAATTAACATTTCAACCCTGAAGGTCCCATTTTCATCAATGATTCAACATTTATTCCATTTCTCTATGCCAAACATGCATCTAGGTTTATTACGAATAAAACCCCAACTTTTGTAAAATTACACAAAAGTCCCAAACTTTCACAAAATTACCAAACCAACCCCAACATCTCAAAATACTAAAATTTAAAGACAAAAATCCATGGACAGGAGTAGGATATCCCTATCTCAAATCCGGAGCCCCAAGGGAGAAGATGACAAAACCCAACGTGCTCCAAATCCCAAAATTTTCAGATTAAAATGTAGCCCTCGACGATCAACAACTTTTTTGTAAAGGCCAAAGATGAGCGAATCACTCCTACTAGATCAAAACCTAGAGAGAAGGTAGAGTTCTAGAGTGAGAGGCTCAACAATGGTGTTTTTGGAAAAGTAGGAGAGAGAAGAGAAAGTGAAAAAGTGATTTGAAAAGTCAAAATTTGGAACTTAAACCCAGTCGCCCCGCTCGAGCGTCCAAACCCCCACTCGAGCGGCACTCACAGACTTCCGCTCGAGCAGCCAAACTCCCGCTCGAGCGCCAGATGCACTCTCCCAGCATCTCGACACAACACGTTCCCGCTCGAGCGCTCGAAGCCCCGCTCGAGCGTCACTCACAACCTCCCACTCGAGCGGCCAATTCCCCGCTCGAGCGGCCAACACTGCACAGGAAATACTGGATGGGTGTATCCCCCGCTCGAGCTCCAAAACCCCCGCTCGAGCGGACAGTCAATAATAGGATCCCCGCTCGAGCGTCAAACTCCCCGCTCGAGCGGACAGGCCAAAATCTAGGCAACTAGTTTTGGTTTCTAAACTCAACCAACCTATAACAAACCTGCCCAACACATCCTATAACTCAAATACAAAGTAAGAAAGGATGTAAACAAGATAATGATCAACTACTAACATCCACGGACACATGTCCGGATCACTGTACAACAAGGGTAAACCCGGGATCTTTTGCCAGAGGCAGGGTAAAAAGGCCAGTCAGGCACAGATCATCAGTTCAACAGTCTTCGGATCAACAGTCATTATCCATCTCACCTGTGTGCGGTTGGGTTGAGATATCTGCTTTTACCACAGAGACAGATATACCGATAGGTCAGTTAGATCAGGACAGTATGGCGGGAATGGAAGAGATGGTGTGCCAACTCCAGGATAGTATGAAAGCCATGCAGCAAGACACTGTCCGTCAAGCAGAATTCGCTAACCAACAGGCTGTGGTCATAGCCCAACAGGCAGAGACAATTGCCAGGTCAGAGCAGCAAACTGGAGTATCTACTTCACACCAGGCTCCTCCCCCACCAAGAGTTCCAACACTCGGGGAGACAGCTAATGTCCAGGAAGATACGGACATTCCGATAGGGCCAGCTTCGCCCCCGGTTCTACCCCAGCTATCTAAAACACCCACCAACCTACCAGACCCCCCCTTTGATGTCGAGACAGACCCCACAGCATTGAAAGTGAGCAAGCTTGAGAAATTGTTCAAGAAGTCTCAGGGGGCCCACTCCATTCCTGACATTGAAGATGGGTATACAGACTCGGCTGTGACGCTGCCGAACAGATTTAAGATGCCGCACATCGACCGCTTTGATGGATCTGGGGATCCCATGGTGCATCTACGGCTATTTTCGGACATACTAAGGCCGATGGGTCTCACCAGATTACAGAAACTATCATTGTTTGGCCGGACCCTGTTTGGGATAACCGCAATTTGGTATGCAAAATTGGAGAACTCTGTGAAACAGAATTGGAAAGAGATGGCTGAGGCCTTCAGTGATCAATACTCCTACAACGCACAGATTGAGGTCACAACTCGTGATCTTGAAGTCACCCGCCAAGAGCCAAAGGAGAGCTTCTCAGAATTCGTGGCTCGCTGGAGGGCCAAGGCCTCAATGATGACCATTAGGCCAACAGATAAGGGTCAAATACGGATGGTTGTGCACAACCTCCAGCCCAAACTAATGCAGAAAATGTTCGTGCTCCCCTTCCCTACCTTTTCAGATTTGCATGAGATGGGAGTACAGATCGAGGACGCTATGAAACAGGGCCTTATTGACCAGGAGAAGGAGCAGCCTAGGAGGGCGTTTTCCCGCAATTCAAGTGCGACCACGAGCGGTGATGCAGCTGCAAAATCTTCTGAAGTGGGCATGGTCACTACCACCACACCAAGAGTAGCCACCCCCTTTGTTGGTACATCCACTTCAAACCCCCGAACTTCAGACTATCTACCCCGAGGCAAGAGGGTTTTTACCCCACTCTATATGCCTTTCTCTAAAGCCCTAGGGGTCCTACTCAGGAAAGGACATCTGAAACTGTTGGAACAACAGCCTCTACCCGATCCTCTCCCTCCAAAGCATGACCCGACTAAGTACTGTGCTTTTCATCAACAAACCGGTCATGACACCGACAGTTGCGTCCGTCTCCGCCACGAGATCAAAATTAATTATAAATTAATATAATTATATAAATTAATTAATTTTTAATTAAATTACACATTATCGTATATCAACAGAAAATTAATTATTTATTTTAATACCACATCTATTATTATTATTATTATTGTTGTTGTTATTATTATTATTATTATTATTATTATTATTTTGACCCCTAGATTCATAATAATTATATTATTTTACAAAATCACCCATAATAATATATAATAAATTATATATTTTCCTAACTGTGATTAAATAATATTAGTATAAATTCTATAGAATAATTAAAAATCTGGGTTGTTACAGTATCAATGCTTTTTATTTATATAAACACAACCAAAAGAAGCCTAATTAAAAAAATAAATAAAATCAGATTGTGTTCCTTCTCAAAATAAAAACCAAGTTTAGAATTTATTTCTAGTAACCGCTAGCCAACATATTAAAATAGCAAAGGGCTTATAAGGTCTAAAACTTAATTTCATACGTCACACTCTAAATTAACTTTGACTGAATTTATTATTTTTAAAAATATTATAAATCTGAAATCTGAACTGATCAAATTAAATCGGAGATAAATCCCAATTCTGATCCAATGTACAAAGACTGAAGCTTTTTACCTAAAACTTCAAAGGGTATACAGAGTGTGTATTCTACAGTGAGTCACTCACCCCATCAAGTTGACTTGGAGACAAATTCCAAGTTCACTGAGCAGTTCATACATCTGATTTAACCTAAATCAGCGTCATTGTCGTCTGAACAAGGTCCTCTCTTTTAGATACTTCACGATACCTCCTAAACTAATTATGAAAAAAACAATAATAGGGTTTAGAAATTGAGAGAGAGAAATACTAGAAACATAGCGAGAATAAGATCGAGAACTTACAGTGAAATAAAGCAATCAGCGGAAGGCAGCAATGGAAATCAGTCCGCAACAGAAACTGCGATCTGCAATGGTGCACTTGTGCGATTGGGTGAGAGGAAGAAAGAGAGATAAAGAGGCAATTGGGTGGGTGTGCGATTTTGTGTGTGCGTGAGAGAGAGAGAGAGAGAGAGAGAGAACTAGAGTTTTACACCTAGATTCGAGTTTGTTGTAAAAAGAAAGAGGACAGCAATCCAGCGGTAGAGATTTTGATTCATTTTTTTATTAAAAACAAATGTCAGATGTTTTCTTATAAAAACCGGATAATGAAACAAGTTTCAAAATTTCGGCGATGAAAATATGTTTGTTGCTAAAAATAAAAATCTTTGCCAACTAAAAGATTTTGTTTCCAAAACAAAGTGACTAACAGTGACACATATTTCGTTGCCAAAAAAACATGGTCATCGCTAAAACTTTTTCATTTTTGGAGGAAACATTGTCCCTTGGCGCCTCATTAATATTTTCAATCTATAGCGACATATTGAAAATTACATTGCTAAAAGTTTACCTTTACCAACGAAAATGATTCCTGTGTCGCAGAAAGTGCACTTTTGGCTACAAAAAATATACTTCATCTCCGAAAGTTGTCGCTAAAAATGTAATTTCTTGTAGCGATATTTTGTAAATATCTTTGGTGAAATGAAAAAATCAACAAATAATATAAAAATATGAGGTTAGAGTTGCACCGATGTCATCGAGCGATTTAAAAATCTGTTCCCAGAACATTCTGGAACAATCTACACAAAAGGCTGCAAAGTTATAAATATGTGCTCCCCCATACTATTTTTCCCAAATTAAAACCCTAGATTCACGTTTTGCCAAAACTTTTCATCGCTCTCTTGTTTTTTTTCCTCTCTTCAAATTCAATTTTTTCTATCTTTGCTTTTTCGATCCATATTAGAGTTTTGTCATGCTCGAATATGGATCGAAAAAGCAAAGACAGAGAGAATTGAATTTGAAGAGAGGAAAAAAAAAAAAAACACGAGAGTGATAAAAAGTTTTGACAGAAAGTGAATCTGGGGTTTCAATTTGGGAAAGATAGTATAGGGGAGTGTGTATTTATAACTTTGCGGCCTTTTGTGTAGATTGTTCCAAAATGTTCTAGGAACAAATTTTTAAATTGCTCAATGACGTCGGTGCAACTCTAACCTCATATTTTTATATTATTTGTTGATTTTTTCATTTCACCTAAGATATTACAAAATATAAATTTTCCAAGTTTCCAAAGAACTTTTGAACGTAAACAAGCATGAACGAACAAATAAATTATTTATAAAACTCTAAAATTCATGTAATTACATGGAATATTCAACAAACATGTTATGGTCATTTTCCATAAAGAAATTCCTAAAAATAATTTATGAATAATTTTGTAAAATTTCAAGAAATTTCATGACACAGATTCATCACATTTTCTTAAAATAATTCCACACTTAAAATTTATAAATCAATTCCATAATCTAAAAATTTATTATGAAACTAGACTTCTCAAATTTCATTTTTTATTTAAAAATTACCAGATTTGGTTTAATATAGGATTTTTAATAATTTTTCAAACATGCAGTAAAATCTGTCTACAGTTTCAGATTTAATTAAAATTTTGTATAAATTCATACAAAATTATAATAATTTTTTCAAAAATTCTTGGATGAACTAAACATCATTCTTAACAACTTTGAGTATAAAATTGTCTAAAAATTAGTACAAGTTTTTGGCAAATTTAAGAGTCATATAACCAAATCAAATAAAATCTTTAATCATCTCTTTAATGGCACAAACTACACATGCAAGGCTAATTCCAAAATTATATCATGATTTTAAGGTTACTAATATAAAAATATCCTTCAAACATTTGATATACAAATCACAAATTTACATACAACTATAAATAAAATCCTATCTAAAATTTTAGACATTTTATCATATGAACACAATTTGAAAATTTCAACAATTAAAAATAATGAGAGGGTTGAGAGGGTTTTCTTACTTAGTGGTAGGATTAAAATGAGGTAATGAAATGATAAGAAATATTGTAAACTTCTTTATTCTTCTACTCTTCTTCTTCCTATTTTGACTTAGCTTTACTCAAAGAATTTTTTTTTTCTTTTTAAAATTCTTCTACGATCAGTTGAGAAGAGAATTGCAAGCCATATATATATAGCAGTTTCATCAAAACACCTAAGGCTCTCTCTCTCTCATCACTCTATTGCATCCCATCTAATCTTCTAAATCCACGACTAATCATAATCCTACTCTCCCTACTATTGCATGCATGTTTACAAGTGTTAGGTGATTAATCACCCCACACTCCCATCAAATTTCACATTTTTTTTTTAAGAATAATTAAATGTGAGTTCTTATAAGACAGATATTTAAATCAAAAGCTATAGAATTTTGAAATTTTCAAATGAGTTTAAAAAAAAAAAAAAGGTATAAAATTTTGTCACTATGTGTTTTGGAGGACCTAAACTAATATAGAAAATTATGTTGTCCTTATCCTTTTAAAAAAATATTAATAGGAACTTAAACTAAAAACCCCTTATTTTTTCCCCTAACAATATAAGATTTTATGTATAAAATATAAGATTGTATGTAATATATATATACACACACTAGCATAATACTTGTGTTATGCATGGACATAAATAAATTCTTAATTTTTTAAACGTCACATGTAATTTTTATTTTTTAAAAATTAAAAAGTTGATTAATAATATTTTTAAAATTTGAAATTATACAAGACTACAATTATATTTATAGTTTAAAATAAAATTAAATTTCAAATTAAAATTTCCTCTCTTTTTTTTTTATACTTTTTATGTAAAGGTTTTTAAATATAAAAAAAAAAAATAGACAAGATTAAATGGGCCAACTAAGATTATTGTGGATTGTTTGTCACATTTCAAAGAAAAATTGAAGGGGTTTATAGTTTAAGATCTATGATATTAAGATTTTATAAGATAAAGGATATGCAGAATTTTCATAATAGTTGGGATCGCTTAACATTTTCACAGAAAAATTTCTACACTGAGTATAGCAATCCCGGGTTACCCTTGTTGTACAGTGATCCGGACATGTGTCCGTGGATGTTGGTAGTTGTTTATTATCTTGTTTACATCCTTTCTTACTTTGTATTTGAGTTATAGGATGTGTTGGGCGGGTTGGTTACAGGTTGGTTGAGTTTAGAAACCAAAACTAGTTGCCCAGATTTTTGGCCTGTCCGCTCGAGCGGAGGTGTTGGCGCTCGAGCGGATAATACACCCATCCAGTATTTGTTGTGCAGTGTTGTACGCTCGAGCGTGGAGTTGGGAGCTCGAGCGGAGGTCTGGTTCTGCAAAAGTGCTGGGCGAGTGCATTCTGCGCTCGAGCGGGAGGTTGGCCGCTCGAGCGGAAGTCTGTGAGTGGCCGCTCGAGCGGGGTGTTTTACGCTCGAGCGGAGACCTGGGTTAAAGTCCCGAATTTGTGACTCTTTAAATCACTTTTTCACTTTCTCTTCTCTCTCTTACTTTTCCAAAAATCGGTTGAAGTGTTGATACAGCTCATATGCTTATCTATGGAAGTGTTGATACAGCTCATATGCTTATCTATGGAAGTGTTGATACAGCTCATATGCTTATCTATGGAAGTGTTGATACAGCTCATATGCTTATCTATGGAAGTGTTGATACAGCTCATATGCTTATCTATGGAAGTGTTGATACAGCTCATATGCTTATCTATGGAAGTGTTGATACAGCTCATATGCTTATCTATGGAAGTGTTGATACAGCTCATATGCTTATCTATGGAAGTGTTGATACAGCTCATATGCTTATCTATGGAAGTGTTGATACAGCTCATATGCTTATCTATGGAAGTGTTGATACAGCTCATATGCTTATCTATGGAAGTGTTGATACAGCTCATATGCTTATCTATGGAAGTGTTGATACAGCTCATATGCTTATCTATGGAAGTGTTGATACAGCTCATATGCTTATCTATGGAAGTGTTGATACAGCTCATATGCTTATCTATGGAAGTGTTGATACAGCTCATATGCTTATCTATGGAAGTGTTGATACAGCTCATATGCTTATCTATGGAAGTGTTGATACAGCTCATATGCTTATCTATGGAAGTGTTGATACAGCTCATATGCTTATCTATGGAAGTGTTGATACAGCTCATATGCTTATCTATGGAAGTGTTGATACAGCTCATATGCTTATCTATGGAAGTGTTGATACAGCTCATATGCTTATCTATGGAAGTGTTGATACAGCTCATATGCTTATCTATGGAAGTGTTGATACAGCTCATATGCTTATCTATGGAAGTGTTGATACAGCTCATATGCTTATCTATGGAAGTGTTGATACAGCTCATATGCTTATCTATGGAAGTGTTGATACAGCTCATATGCTTATCTATGGAAGTGTTGATACAGCTCATATGCTTATCTATGGAAGTGTTGATACAGCTCATATGCTTATCTATGGAAGTGTTGATACAGCTCATATGCTTATCTATGGAAGTGTTGATACAGCTCATATGCTTATCTATGGAAGTGTTGATACAGCTCATATGCTTATCTATGGAAGTGTTGATACAGCTCATATGCTTATCTATGGAAGTGTTGATACAGCTCATATGCTTATCTATGGAAGTGTTGATACAGCTCATATGCTTATCTATGGAAGTGTTGATACAGCTCATATGCTTATCTATGGAAGTGTTGATACAGCTCATATGCTTATCTATGGAAGTGTTGATACAGCTCATATGCTTATCTATGGAAGTGTTGATACAGCTCATATGCTTATCTATGGAAGTGTTGATACAGCTCATATGCTTATCTATGGAAGTGTTGATACAGCTCATATGCTTATCTATGGAAGTGTTGATACAGCTCATATGCTTATCTATGGAAGTGTTGATACAGCTCATATGCTTATCTATGGAAGTGTTGATACAGCTCATATGCTTATCTATGGAAGTGTTGATACAGCTCATATGCTTATCTATGGAAGTGTTGATACAGCTCATATGCTTATCTATGGAAGTGTTGATACAGCTCATATGCTTATCTATGGAAGTGTTGATACAGCTCATATGCTTATCTATGGAAGTGTTGATACAGCTCATATGCTTATCTATGGAAGTGTTGATACAGCTCATATGCTTATCTATGGAAGTGTTGATACAGCTCATATGCTTATCTATGGAAGTGTTGATACAGCTCATATGCTTATCTATGGAAGTGTTG